CCCGGAACAAATACGGTTTGCGGACAGACAGACAGACGGATCTTGTGTTACCTAACTCAATGCAACTCGATAAGGATTCTTCTTTGTACTTCAAATTTCGTCATTACCGGTATTTTGTGAACATTTTAGATCAATCATACTTCAGACTAATATTATAAATGTGAAAATTAATATGGATGGATGTTTGTTAGAGTTTGTAGCCTATACTTCTGATCGGATTTAGATGAAGTCGTATAGATGTAGGGAATAGTCTGCAAGAACACATATGCTACTCACTTTCGTTTTTATACCACGCGGACGGAGTCGCGGGCGAAAGCTAGTATTGTTATATAACTGTATGTTATATTAAGATTTTGAAAATGTTACTATGGAAAAAAGTAGAGATTCTTAACATACTGCTTTACTAGTCCATGCAATGTGTTGTAACCCGCGCCTCCTATCACGTTCTCATGAAAAATATTAAAAAGATACCTAACTTTTTTATTTATATAGTAATTATATTTAATACATAAGTATGTAAATGTTTAAAAGAAACTGCAACACGCAAAAATAAAGTAAGCATTGTTCATTATGAAAAATTATTTTCTGTTTGACCTAGGAGCTAGAAGCGTGGGACTTGTATAATTTTTATAATCACTAATGGCCGAATACTGAAACGACATTTAAATATATAACAGCGTCTTTAATAATTAAAACTTTGACGTCAATCAGACTTTAGGCGGCGCGTACGAGGCGAAATGTTCAAGATTAATTTCAAAATTCAGTAGTCAAAATCACGGGTAGTATATTACCCTTTTGTTTCATATAACAGCCTAATGATCAAATGCTAAAACGAATCTTAACACACTGCGTTAACAGTAATGCATCATGGGCGTTTGTCTTCATGATTTAGGTGTAGGAGGAGCTACTATAAATAAGGTCTTATTCCAAGAAGTTTTAATATCTACATATTTTGACCATCTGGGGACATCCATGACAAGCATATTTCTTCGCTCAAGACGTTAGCTAGCCGTAATTATTATATTTATAAAGAAAATAATCACAATGACAGGCCATAAATACAATAACGTAATGTAATTTTTAGTTAAATATTACTCGATGCATTGTTTCTATCCACACCATTTTCATAAAATAATAATTGTCATTGAATTCAGTTATTATATTATCTGTCCCTCATTCTGTAAATATTAAAGCGTTTATGCTAAATAAAACAATCGAACAATTGACACGAAAGAATAATAAATTCTAATTAGACCTTGATCAAACTACATGAATATTCTTTCCATTACAACTGTTTTTGCTCTCTCTGCCGACTGCAACAAAGCTTAAAGCGTTGCTTTAATTTTACCTAGTTACTGAAGTTGAGACTGCACGCTGAATTGAATTAAATTTTTCATTTCAACAATCCTTTATTGATGTCCAACAATGTTCATGGTGCAGTCGGGGATACTGGCGATGTTTAAACATTTTTTAAACATTTGAAAGGAGGGAGACAAAAAAACAATACAACGTAGCTTATAAATGTGTCTGTACGAAAAGTTGGCTAGTGAGACACGGCAAGTAATTATATTTTTGTTATCACTTCGTTTGCACCACCTAATTTTAGTCCCTTACTCTTGCCACTCTTTTCTTAAAAGGAGAGGATGGGAAGAAAAAGTGGATTTGATGGTGGAGGAGACGCATAGGAAGAGAAAATGTCCTCTTTATGTGCGTCTCCTCCTCCGGCAATGAAGGGTAGGCAACGCATCTGCAATTGCGGATGTTTACGGGCAGCGGTCGCTTTCTATTTCGGTGGATTCAGATGGCCGCTTGCTCGTTTGCCATCTTATATTATAAAAAAAAACTCACTGCTAACTAATTATATTTGTAGGAAAAGACGTAGATTGTCTCATTGCAATATAAGGCAATTTTTCCTGAAGTCCATCACCACGGTTTTATGCGACAGTACGTTGATTGTTTATTCTTCTATATTTTTTTTTACATAAACGTGTATATACAATTGGACATTATTCGCGATAATGTTAGCAAGTAATATACTCTTAGATTTCTTACTGTTATTATCTGCTTCCTCAAGAAAGATCAAGGAAAATCTTTAACATTACTAAAATTTTGTAGATCTTGTTCATCTCGTCTTCATTCCTCACCAACCTCATCATCAGATGTGAGGTAGGAAACGCATCTGCAATTGCGGATGTTTATGGGCAGCGGTCGCTTTCCATTTCGGTGGTTTCAGGTGGCCAATTGCTCGTTTTCCATCTTACATTATGTATTATAAAAAAATATGGCGACGCGCTTAAAGTATGCGTTATGTTTCATTTCTTTTTTTTTTATTATTTTAACAAGGTTTAGGCTAAGCGTTATCTGCACTCGGCCACCTCTAGCCCGGTGAAGCTGTGAACAGTGCAAACTTAGTCAAAATCACGATTTTGTCGAAGTGCACGTTGGCGTCACAGTCGACAATTACTAATAGAACAATTAATGATCTTTAGTATTTACAGTTAGTGTGAAAGTAAAGCAAGGTGTGACGAACGGTGAGTTTACATAATGGCACTTTACAGTGGGTCATAGATTCCATCATCCGGTATACAATAAACAATGAAAGTGAACTTGTGTAGTCATCATCCTGCCATCGATTACAATAAAGATATTTTGAATGTTGACTTTATTTAGACGTGATGCTATTTTTCTTGTATTATTATTTGTCTTAGTTATCAGACATCTATACTAATGTTATAAAGAGGAAAGAATTGTATTTTTATATTTGAATTGAAAAACTCAAATATTACTGGGCCTATTTAAAAAAGAATCTTTCACCGTCAGAAAGGTAATAACGTAATTTATCTGTGACAGAAACCACCTTTTTTATTTTTAATTTCACGCAGAAGTCGCGAGCAACTAGTATGATGTAATCTTTATTTACTTTCATTTCATAGTAGTAGTAGACATTTGCATTTGTTGATAAGTTAATAGAGAGGAGGAAACTTAAAGTGGTGGGAAAGGGAAGATGTCTTCAATTGGGCATTCACGCACTCATAATACGAAACACGGTATTATTTCCACTTCCCGCCTATCTCAGTCTGTGTCTATGGTTATGTAGGTGTTGTTGTTAAAATGTAAAATAGACACTTATCGTTGTTGAGAAACTGGATTTGCTTTTGACAATATTATGATTTTTCAATTGTTATTACAATAAATGATACCCGAAATTAAACGAACTGAACCAAATTGAATGACATCTAAATAATTTAACCAATTCTAGAAAATCATGGTTTCGAAGGTTATTATTAAAAGTAAATGTTGCAAATACAAATAGTTTCAGCAACAGGATGTCTACAATGTGAAGGAAAGGAAACTAAAGTAATAACATAACACGGGCATAATCTATACTAATATAATACATTAAATTATTAAGAGAATAAATACTATTTTCGAATGTAACATATAAACTCAAAAACTACTGAAGCTGGGTATTTCAAAAAATCTTTTGCAACGCAAAAGCTACATTATAATTCCGGGCGGATGAGGTCGCGGGTAAAAGCTAGATAGAATTAAATACAATTAGTAGTCTAATAAAATATTATCTATCATCTATAAAACATTTCCGCGTGCATAAGAAAATAAAACCTTATGCTAAGGGCGCAAGGGTCTTGTTGCAAGCAAAAAATTGAACTCGAGTGAGAGGGCTACAAGTGTTCAGTATTTTCCTTTCTAGCAGTGACTTAGAGTTACCTGATATCAATCCTTTAGTTGATTGTAGAAAAAAATGCAATTAATGTAATAGTACAAGAAATTTACTTTCAAAATGTTTCTTAATTTTTTTTCATATATCTTTATTTCTTATTCGCTATATAATACATTTTACAAGATTTATGATAATTTATTACCGACATGTTAAAACAATATTATTTGTTGCTACATGTAAAACTTTATTAACGCAAAAAAAATTGGCGATTACGCGATTGGCGTACAGGTTTTCTTTTATTTGTTTAAAATTCGAACACCTGAATTGACAACACCGCATGAGATCGCCGAAACGGACTTCATTGGCGGCGTTTTTGAAATCCGTAATATTTTTAAAATTGCCTTGTTCAAATTGTAAAAACTTGTGTCGTGGAGGCTTGCGGAAGCGAGTATTGTCCTGATTGGGGTTTATCTTTTCAAAGTTTTAGACATAATTTGTTAGTGAAGAATAACGGTGACCATGTATGACTATCCAATCCTAGAAATCCTGAAAATAAGAGAATCATCAATCAAATTTTACTCGATTATGGATTTCACAATTTCAAATATTGTTTACAGAAAAAGTGAGAACTCTCAAACAATGTTTCTTTCCTCACAATATCATCGATTTGCATAAAAAAAGAATGTGAGGGACCAACTACACGGAGGTGTCCATCTGCATTTCGTGTCCCACAAGTACCACTAGGTAAGTAGTATATGACGCGTCTGAAAAGCAAGCAAAAACGGGAAATGTGTAGTGCCGCATAGAGCAAGTTTATCATTAGCACCTTTCATTAAAATCCATCTGAAGCAATGATCTGCTCACATCAGGTCACGATTATTTTTTCATTATTGTCCTAAAATCATATTTCAATATGGTCACCATGGCCAGAGAGGGAAAAATGGTACAGTTATTGAAGTCTCGCTCGGCTTCAATTTTTCGACAAGAGCTTTATCCTCTCTTAGTAGTACATCCATAGTATTGATATATGTAAACGGAGGAAAAAATGGAGGACATTTTAAATGCAACCAATATGACGAACATGATTTCCAAGGCATCCAACATAGCAAAGAAATCTGCATAAACGTCGTTGTCTATGGTTTCACTTTTTTATTCATATCTACGGAAATAATCTGAAGTAAAAAAAACAATTTTCTTAATTACAACTTTTATTATGACTTACTAATACAAAATATACAAATTTACATATAGTTCCTTAAAAATTTACATAACAATAATTATCAATTTTAACAAATGTAGTAGAATAAAAAATACAGTACGTTTTTATTGATTTCTATCTTGTTATAAAAATCGATAATCGAAAAGATTCTTAACCAATTACAATACCATTTTGCTCAATCTATGCTCAAATTGTCAAATTATTCTTATTTATACTAACTACAAGTAAAACTATTTCAAAGTATCGCAATTGTCTGTAGAGGCAGTGGCGGAGCACGGATGTCGCGGGGACACTGCCGCAGCTGCAGCACCAGCTCGTGTTGCTTGGGCGGATTCTTCATTCAACACTTATTTGGAAAACTTTATAAGCTTTCAAAGAGGTGCATCCAATCTTCCTGTAACAGAATAACCTAATTTAGCTTAAAATTGATTTCCCTTTTTTACACTTAAGGTGAAATATTACAATAAGTATGACTGCAAAATTTAACTAATAAGTACTATGGGTTTAACCTGAATTTAGATTTTGCTATAAAAAATTGATAACACACTTTAAAAACTCAAAACTCGGTAACATAAAAACCTCTATAACTTCAAATAATAATGTTCTCTTCCCATCAGCGCCCAAAACTACTATAACATAGACCCTTGATAACTTAAAACTTCTTTAACTTAAAATATTTTGTGTTTCCCTTGGACTTTAACTTATACGAGGTTCTACTGTACCAACATACCATATTGAAGATTATCTATTGGCACAAAGTTAGATTGAGAAGAAAGTTTTATTTTAATTGTAGAGAAAATTATGATGCTGTATCCTGTTCATATTATATCATATTAATTTCTTTGCATCCGAAAAATAAAGATTACAGCTTATGTTCTTACAATAGTGAACTCACAATTCATCTAAACTCGTAAGATAATTTTATTCATTCAAATTTAAGTTAGGAACTTTTATTTGCCCATAATAGTGAAATGCTTTACATTTCAAACCAGTTTCTTGTGTGTTGTGTATTGCACCCGGCAGGCCAACCTATTTGTGCTAAAATCTGCATGCATTGCCAGTCTTCATGATGCCAGTTTATTCTACAATTATACTTTATATAAATGCGAAAGTTTAGATGGATGGATGGGTGTTTATAGCCTATACTGCTGAACAGATATAGATGAAAACTGGTATAGATGTAGAGGATAATCTGGAAGAACATATAGGCTACTCACTTTTGTTTTTTTAGTTGCATGCGGACGGAGTCGCGGTCGACAGCTAGTATATGATGTAATAATTGAGATAAACTCTTAAGCCGACATATTTAATAATGTTTTTAATTTTTACTGTTGAATCTTTTTTGAGGTATTTTTTGATATCATAAGGTGACAAATGAGCAAGAAGCCACCTTAAACCTTATCCGACGGACTCCTCGGTCAGATAAGGGTAGGGTAGGAGACGCACATTAAGTTGATATTTCCTCTTCCCATCCTCTCCTTATAAGAAAAGGATGGTAAAGAGAAAGGGACATAAATTAGGCTTCCGGCACCACACTCATCAGTGAATGGCACACGGAATTGCTTCCACTTCACACCTGTCTGGTATTTTTAAACAATTAATAGTACTTATTAAGTGAATTAAATATTTAGCTAAAATCATGCACACTGGGAACCACTAAAAGAGTTCATACATACCATGAAGCATTTAGTAGATGTCAGGAAGTTGTATATGGTAATTTTGTTGTTTCTTGTTATTAATTTAAGCTATTTACTTTTATATTCAGCTATCAATTATAGTAATCAACCTTCTAGAATACATTTAATTATTTTGAAAATATTTAGAATGATGACTGATGAATGACAGTCTTTATCCAATATCTATTTCTGTGCATCCATAGATTAAGTGTTGATAGTATTCACTTCATCCGCACCTGAAAACAAGAAACATTCACTAATTAATGTTATTAACCCAATGCCCTCTTCATGAATCTATTTAAAACTGGATTTTTTTTCTTTTATTTATTAGATTACCGAAATATAAATACACTTTTGCTTGGTCATGAACACAAACAGCAAAAACATCCAGTTTTTGAATATAAGTACTGGTTACTTAATTTAATTTAAATAGTGAAAATTTACAGATCTCCGTTTCTAATTAATTTTTTTATGTTCAAACAATGTTTTTATTAAAATTGTAATTATATCAGAACTAAAGATGTACATACTTAATCTTCGAAAATTCATCTACAGGAAATGGTCATATCAATGTCTTTTAAGCCAAACTGTTTGTTTTTAGCAAATTACGAACCTTCGTGTTATAGATATATACTCATAAGTAGACGTGAGCGTTATTTCACGTCACTAGTTACAATCACCTGTGACGAGATATGTAACGGCGTCACTAGTTTCGAGTCAAATTGAAAAATATAAAAGTAAATAAACCCGATTTAATATTTCCCTAGAATCAATATTTCCCTGTAAGAGAGTATAGTATAGTGCCACAAGGATATTGTGCGTGGTACCCTTTTGACATTGACAGGAGGGCGCCTCTGAGCATTAAGGGCTACCAGCAAGGTAAGGTAATATTTCCACATTAAAGGGCAATTATTTTCGTTTGAAAACGAAAACGCATTGTAAAGGAAATACCATACGATGTAATTAGGAAATGCCCCTGACTTCGTTTGTTGGGGAAAAGACACTACACTTAAAGAACTTTTATAGCAAACTATAATAATGTTCTTTCTTTGGACACTAAGAGGAGGAAAAGCCTTAACATAACAGAAATAATAGAAATCTTAATGATTGCTTTTTGTTTACAATCAACGCACAGTAAAAACTATTTGGTATGCCCAGTGGTTTGAACTGTGCGTCTTAAAATTTTTAGACAGGCAGTTTCTTCATACATTTCTGAATACACGTAGTAATTTACTTATTACTTAAGTAAACATGTATGTAAGTAAACACTACTTTCAGCATTTTGTGCGGGTATTTAATGTAAGTAGTTTCAGAGAGGTTTTTTGAAAGTGGGAGATATTTTTATTGTTTATATTTTCAAAAGGAAAGAATTTTCCTTTAATGTGGAAACATATACCTTACTGGTAACCCTAAATACTCAGAGGCCCGTTCCATTGTCAAAAAGATGCCACAACATCTTTACCTTTATAGACTTATACTTCCATAGTTTCACTGAGTTGAATGACAATGACATTGACAATTCAATTCGCATTTTCGGAATGATGGATGCGATATTTTACACTTTCTTACTTGAATAATATATTAAATCATACTAATTTTTACGATAAGTTCTAAATACCAATTGATTTTTCCTTTTGTAAAGT